CCAAACTGACCTTTTGGAACCCGAGGGACAGGACAAGCTCTGCAGTCTGGCTGTCACTGCCCTGATGGGGACTGGTCAGTAGGCAAAGGCAGTGCTGTGTATTTACCTACTTCTCCTCTCCACATAAAAGTTGTGTAAATGATCATTATAGAGCCCTTCTCCGAAGCAGGAGATCTCCCTCCCTGGGTTTGGAGATGCTTTTACATATCCATGACCATTATCTGCCTGTGCTCCAGCACCAGTGCCAAACACACACGTGGAATGAATCAAAAACATATTCCAAATAATGGCAGTATTTATGTGATTTGGTGTGTTCTGTGTTCCACAGAGCCTCAGGAGCTGGTTCTCTGCAGCAGCACCAGGGAGCTGATGGGCACACAGCAGTGCAGGGCCTGGGACTACTGACAGGTAATGACAGAGCAGCAATGACTCCAACAGTGCAAAGGAAAGGAGAATTAAAAGCAGATTTAGGCAATCCTTTCTCCTCCTTGAGTCCTCTAAGTGCACAATATTTCCTCTATGCATGCAGGGCACTTTAATTGTGATTTATTGAGTATGAAGAAGATTGTTCCCTCTCAAGTGAAACAGTGCTGGCCCAAGGTGAAGGAGTTATAATCTCAAGCTGTCCATTGCTGGTGCCTATCCCAGTGAAATGCTGATTTTCTCAGCACTCCTACTGAAAAAAAAAGCCAGAAGGGCAAACAAACACGGTGAAAGACCTGTTTTGGTCAGACCTGTGGTGAGAGCTGGTGAAAGTTTTCTCATTTGCACATAAATAACTCGAATTATTATGGATGCAGCTTCTTGGAGAACAAAATAATAAACGCTGTCCCTCCATGCTCCCTCACCAGCCTGTCAGATGTATCTTGGCTTCTCCTGAGAGACTGTAAATATGTGGGGTTTGTTCATTAGCAGTATAATGTTAAGATGGAAGCTGTAATGCACGTGATGGGAGCACAAGAAATTACTTCAGCTTTCATTGAAACAAAGGACGTGACTGTGCTCTGGCAATAGGAGCATAATGGCTGTTTAATTTTTCCAGACAGGGACTGGAGCTCACTGGGGTTTTTTTGGGCTCTTGCTTTGTTTTTGTTTTTGCTCCAGCTTTTAAGGATGAGAATGTTGTGTCTGACGCGTGTCAGCAAGCAAAGGAGATTCACTAGCAGAGCTGGGTCCGTCTTGCTCCCCGGTGAGGAATAAAAGCATGAACCGTCTCTCACTTCGGGAGGAGAAGGGGGGGCTGTTTCCAGGCTGCGGGAAGTGCGAAGGCATTGTCAGGTTTGGGTCAGGCGGAGCCGGGGCTGTGCTGAGCTCTCAGCAGGACCCATCAGCCGGGTGTCACTCGGCAGCCTGGAGGCATCTCTGGGAAAAGCCAAGACAGAAGTGTGGGGGGCGAAGCTGCCGTGTCTTGTGGTGGTGCAAGACTGCTCTGTGTAACAATGATCTTTGGGGAAAGCAGACACAAAAATGGATAAAAGAATAAAGAGCCTTTATCAAGGATGCAGAAAGAGAAAATGGCCACTTCTACACTACCCACATTTAGATGCTAAATAATGCTGTTATCAGAGCTGTTGAAAACTTTGCTGAACAGGAGTTGTGCCCACATTTAATCCCAGCCTGGTACCTGCAAGGCCTGATCCTGCCCTCAGCTGCATCCAGGGAATCTGGTGTCAGTGAGGCCACTGCACTGAAAGGGGTGGGTAGAGAATGAAGAGCTCTATTCTGTTTATTTCTTCATAGTTGCATCTGTTTTTGTGCTTTGAAGTTCTCAGGTTTACTTCAATCTTCAGGTTTATTTCACTTCTTTAGGGAAGCAGATAAAGCGGGGGGGGGGGGGGAATATGAGGGACAGGGCCAAATTCGAAGTGGAGTCACTTGGGCAGCATAAACAACCTGCAACCCCAAGGTGTAATTTCCATTGGTAAAACCACGTTGAACCAACTAATTACTTTGAAATTACAGCCAGATTTCAACTTTGTAACTGCAGAGCACATCTCACCTAAGCCAGGACAGGGGTACCACAGGAGGGAGCTTGGAAGAGAACCTTGTGAGCTGCCTCACAGTAAAAATGGTAAAACTGCATTTCCCTGATTGTCATTCATTTCCTGGACCCAGGTTTATTGGTTTAATCCCTTCTCTCCATTCCAAAACAATCAACCAAATATATACAAATTTAAAAATCCCTGAAACAGTAGCTTGCCTCCATATTGCAATGGACATTGAACAGCAATAGATTTAAGGTCCTTTGGCAACATCAGGTGGGTGAACTCAGTTTTTGCCTGTGTTTGATTGAAAATTTGGATAGTTGTTTTCCCAGCGTTCCTGATTTTGTTTTACATTTAGCTCTCAGTACTTTAGTCCTTTCTGTGTATGACAGAGCAGACTGAGGGCGATGTTTTGTTCACTGGCAACCCAACCAGTTTCAGAGCACAACAGTATCATTTTCCAGCACAGTTAAATTTATTACAGCGTGGTCCTGTGAAATGGTCTGATGTGCTTTCAACTATCCAAATAACAATTTGCTGGGATGTGGAAACCACAGGAGTCAGGAAGAAGGTAGTAGTCTGTGAGTGGGTCTTGTCTGGGGAAATGGGGAAGAAAACACAACACATTTAGGACCCAATGCAAGAGGTGCCCTGGGCTGGGATTCATTTGGGGCAGGATTTCTGGTCAGGTTGTCACTGACCCTGTTAGATTAATGTTTGTCACTTTGGTACTTTGTTGAATGTGGAAGAAACCACAATGAATCCTTCACTAAAGGGGGAAATAACGTGTGTGAATGGGGAGCCTCAGGTCTCCGAAAAGGGTTTTTAAAATCCTCTGTTTTGTGAGGCAAACAGTCTCAGAACTGGAGTTACTTCAGGCTGACAGAGCAGCCAATAGCAGGAACCAGAGACAGGAATTTGGGCTCAGAGTTAGGAGTGCAGTGGGGATCATTAGGACAGTCACAGCATGTAACTGGAGAAATGTAGAAATGTCTCTTGCAGAACAGTGATTAGTTTATTCTCCAAGCACTCACCTTGTACAGACACTGCATCACTTCCCTGTGCACATCCTGTGGTTGCTTTTCATTTGGGTTCTTTCAAAATGTACAGCAGCACTGGTGTGGTGACTGCATTCTGAGTGCTACTTATTCAGAATCACCATTTCAACTATCATCTAATCAAAAATCTTTGATGCAAAACGCATTTTAAACAAATAATAATCTTTCAACTCTGAGTTCCTGGTAAAATATCTTATATTAATGAATTTATAAATAGCAAGTGCCAGTTCTATGCCAATTCTAACAGCACAGAAAAGAACACACTGTGAAGGAAAACACACCAGGTTTTTGTTACCCAATTTTGTTGTTTGTAATATAAATGCTTGTGAGAAAGATAATTCTGATTTCATAGTTCTTTAGCTTAAATATGTTGTCATTTAAGCCTGTACTCTTATTCCACCAGGAAGCCAGGAAAGCATCTGCAGGCACACAGCCCGGGGGGCAGGAGCTGTGCCCTGTTTCCAGGCCTTGCTGTGGTGACCATGTATCAAATGCAGTCCCATTTTTGTGTGTGCAGTTCTGAAAGCACCATCCAGAGCAAAAGGAGTCTGTTGCCAAAGAACCAGTTCCTCTGAAAACAACACTCCAGAGCCCAGCTGGCTTCAGCTCCCTGACCAAGTTCAGTCAGCTCAGGAGTTGCTGTGCAGCCCCCTGTGCCCACTGAGCTGCCCAAGAGACGACACCAAATGAATGTTGGGTTGAAGCACAGGAGACATCTGAACATACTGGAACCTTGTTTGCACATTTTGGTTCTGGGTCTACGATTTTTATACAGAATTAAAATTTTCTCGACTTTTGCAGCATTTCTGAAGTTGTTTCATTCCGTTTTGAAGCATTTGCTGGTGTGTGCACTGAGTTTACTAACACTGTCCTGACCCTGGAGATGGTGTGATACTTTATGGGGTGCAGTGACATTTATGTGCCCAACTTGGCTCCCATAAATAGGGTAATTTCCACAAATTAAAGGCCAGGTTTGAAACATTACAAGATGATGTAACAATTCTGTATTGGCCTTCAGGATTCTCAGTGGGGCTGATGACCGGGCAGTCCTTTGTCAGCTGCAAATCCACAACTTCTACACAATTTTTTCAGGTATAATGGTAAAACTGAAAGTGCTGAGAAAAGAAATATTGAGGTTTATAGTTTCACATAACATCAAAACATTGAAAATACATGGAGCACTTAACAAGTGACATATTTATGCTAGAGAAATGAGTTCCAATTTTAGACAATACTCCTTGCACATCCCAAATTAGGCTGTATCAAAGTATGTCTTGTACCTTAAAACGACAGAATATATAACAAAAAATCCCTTATTGTTAATACAGAGTTAATATTCAGACATTGGGAATAAGATTCAGAAATCTCCAACTGAAGATGCTCGACAAAGAATTTATTTTGGTTTTCAAAATCTAACCATGGTTCATCTGGATTTCACTTCATACAAACATCCACTGGATATCAGGTGCCAGCTTTGGTTATTTAATACAACTCTTGGAAAACCAGTGGTCTTGAAGTTCCCCTTTCATTTGGCCTGAATTAATGTAATTTTGTTGTTACTAAATTACATATCAATCATTATTATACCTGTTTATATAAATCAGACAATAAGAGGATCATATGACTTTAAAATAAACTGAAGAACCACATGATTAAAATAAGCAAGAGATACAAACCTGGCAATGACAAGAAAGCACATTGATTTAAAATACTGTTCTTAGGATGATCTTGGCTGTTCACAGAACAGTTTACACAGGTTATAGTTAGTAGCTAAACTGCAATTTAGCTTAAATTTCCAGAGTCTGATTCCAAGTTATTCTTTATTCTGTTTTTTAAGTAATGTGTCTGAAGTTACTCCTGCTATGTGTTCTCATTCTTGGGTAATCCTTCCAGAGGATATGAGTCACTTCTCCATTATTTGTAAAGAATATGGAAAAAGTAAAATATTATTATTTTGTGGGCATTTGGAACTGGATTAAAAAAAAAAAAAGGTGGGATGTTGATCATTGTGAGTCATTTCTTGGGAAGAAGGGAAGAACAAACACTGGCTGCTGACTTACTGCTAAGAAAGCCAAGCACTTAGTGCTGACTCAAGAGGCAGCTATTGATGGCTGGAGAACACAATGGAGATCCTGCAGCAGGATTAAAAAGCAAAGTCTTTCCTCTTTAAGTAATAAGGAGTTAGAAGGAGCTGCCTGTGTTGACTTCTTGGAGGCTCCTTTTTGTTTAAGCAACCTTCTAGTTTAAACACGTTGGCCAATTAGAATTACATCCTGCTGCAACGGAGTCTCCTTCCAGTCTCCAAAAATCCTGGCAAATCTGCAGGGAATGAAGTGCAAGACTGATCTCCACAACACGGGGGAGCTACACCAGTAACTCCCAGTGCAACCCTCTGCTGTTCCTGAGTATTGATCCGTCCTGGTTGGGACAAATAGTGGTACACACAAAACTGAAGGGACATAAATGCCTTGTAACCCATTTGCATTCTGATCAACTAATTGAAAAAAACCCTGTTTTGATACCAAAACTGATTTTTCAAAGTGACTTCGTGTCACTGTGGCCCTTGCATACTTTATTTGTGTACTGGGAACTAAATTACTTCTGTGTGTAACTACACAGAATACCTGCAAAGAGCACACAATACAAACCCCAGTGTATTTTATAATTATGACTTAACTACACTTATGCTTTGTGTGCTTTTTTCAAGCTCCAGTGGACACACTGTGATGAAGCCTAATAATTGTTTTTTTCTGCAGGTGTTTTTTGTGTGTTTGCTGTGTTTTTTTAATGAGGAAAGCTTCTTTCCAAATGCAAGGATGCAGTCCCATGGCAGCTTGAGCCGACTGAAGTCATGCCTGACACCCTCCTCTGCATCTTCTCATCCTCTCTGTACAGAAGAGATGCTTTTGTGCCAGCACAGGCACCTGAGAACTCAACAGTGGCCAGGTCAGTGCTCATGGAAAATTAATTCTAAACACAAATTCCAGCACTGGTAAGTGATGAATTGGGCATGAGCAGTACAGTTGGATTGTCAGGAACATGGCAGTCTGTATTTATATTTGAAGAATGCTGTGAAACTGAGTAGGAGTAGAGGATCTCATGGAGAAACAATTATAAAAATTTGCTCTGTCATTCCAACTTCCAGTAAGTATTTTTAAATTATAGTCTTATTAATGCAAATAAAGATAGTACCTGCTTTGTGATCTTTATCTGAGTGCCTTCATTGTTATTTTGAAGTAAACCTGAAGCAGAGTTAACAGCCACAGATTTCAAATAATCACTAACAAGCAAAACGCTCCATGAAAATACATTTACCAAAATGATTGTGGATGTTTACATAAATCACGTGTAAAGCATAAATATTCAACAGTCCACCAGTCCCCTGCAGGGTGTTTAGCCAGGACTGCAAATGGATCTGTGTGCCTAATCTTGATTTCCTGTCAGTCCCAGGCTCCCGGGCTCAGTTCAGACTCTTGCACAGGGCTCCTTTGCAGCTCCGGATCTGATGGTCGATCTCCAGCTCCAGCCCTGGAACAGCAGATCTCCAGCCAATGAATCCCTGCGTAGTTTTAGGCACTGGAGGAGATGGAAGCACCTAAAATAAAAAGAATGTGTAAAACTGACTGATGAAAGGGTTTGTGATTCTAATTGCTGTCATGCGACATCATCTTTTGTGCTGCCGTGTGGATGGAAATGAGAACTTATAAAAAAATAGTGGTTCCAAATGTAATTTGCTGAGTTAATATCTTGAAAACATTGACATTAATGAAAGGAAACAAGAACTTTGAGAGACAGCCCAGGTGCATGCAAGTTTGATTTACAACACACGATAGTTTATAATTTAATTAGAATAATTTAGGTCCCATTCTACTGCAAGACACAGGGAAAGAGAGAAGTACAAGGGCCAAATTCCAATGAAGCAACTAACTTTCAATTACCACCCTTCTAAAACCAAAAAGCAAATTATTGTTTAGTAGTGTATGTTAGCAGTCTTTTTTTTTGAAGTTTGGTTCAATCCTAAGGGCTTTAATGGTTTTATATTCTTAGGGGAAGAATTTTATCTGTGTCTTTAGCTTTTTTCCCATACAGAATAATCATCATCATCATCTTTAAAACTAATTAACTTCTCTAAACAGGAGAAATGGTGTTTTCTAGTTGCTGTAATATATTTGGTAGCAGTGCAGCCACAGAATAATCACTTTATGTCCAAATGCTAAAGATGTTTCTGACCAAGCTGGCTTTTGCATCAAGAACTACTTACTCATTCCACCTTCTTTCTACTTGAAAAGATGGGTAAGCAGCAAGTTAATCTGCAACTAATCTAGCTAAGGAGGAAAGAAAACAAAAGCCAGCAGTGTCTGTTCAGTGACTGCTGTGCTTACTTTGGCTGAATCATCTCTGTTGGGCACGTTCTATCATTTTAGCATCTGGGGACTCAGTAGAGCAATACACAGCAAGAGAACAATGTTTCAGTTCTCTTGCCAGAGTTGCTTCACTTTGTTCTTTGGCCAAGATTAGAAAATGTTTATGATATTTAGGTGGAGCAGTTCCTCAAAAAAGATAATTTTTTATGGCCAGAAGTGCCACCCACCGAGCAGGATAATGAAGGGAATCGTGTCCCACTGTCGATCTGGGGGAAGGGACTAGGAAGAAGCTTTTACTAATCTGACCTCGAGAGGAGAAGAGAGATGACTATTGCCACCAAGGTGAATGTGCAGAAACACACAGAGTTCTGAAAAAGGAGGTGAGAAACTTCACTCTGAACACGTAAAGAGTGACCTAAACACAGCTAACCCTGCTCTTCCTCCAAATCCCGAGGTGAAGGAAGCTCTGCTCCCTGTGTCAGTGTGCCCCAGGCTCTGCCCGGTGCTTGAGCAGCTCACAGCGGGGTGACTGTGAACGCCCCAACCCCCTCACTGCTGAAACGGACTGAAACTGGAACTTCACTAAAATCGGTGTTGGAGAGTCTACAAACTGATCAACAAGTAGCACTGATGGCAGAAATGATGCCATTTCGTTGTTTTGCCGCACTCAGCACTAGCACTTAATTTTTGTTTCAGTTTAATCTCAGTAAAAGCTTTTACAACTTCCTTACCTTATCTTCCCACCCTTGGAATCCTTTGAAAGAAAGCTGGTTCAGCAAGTAAGAATTTCCAGTCTCCTTCGTTTCCTTAATCTTCTCTAAGTGGACTAACCTTTTTTGTTAGCACCTCCTTACCCTTCTATGAATATATTCCTCTCCCAATGTCACTGCTTTAGCTGCCTGTATAGTTACCCTGTTCATTGGTGATTCTCACACAGTATATTTAGAAATTAAACCTTCGCATTCTACTGTCTTTTCCAGCTGTTTGATAACGTCAAGACACTGAACATATATATGAATCATATAATATAAAATCAAATAACTATTACTTTGCTCGTTAGAACTGGCTTCCTATTAATTTGTGCCACTAAAGAGGACAGTGGCATTGTCTGTGCCAGCAAGAAGACTCTCTTAAATAAAGGTAGAAAAATTACAACCCCATCCAAAGGGCAATCTTAAATGCTTGTCTTAAATGCTTTCAAAGCATTGCTCGAGTTGCAAATGCAGTTTACTTTGACCTTTAGTTAAAGACCCACCTCTACAAGACAACTGGTTTTTAGAGCTTGTGTGATTTCTTACAAGAGATATTGTTGTATTACAATTTAAAGTGTAATTTTCTAACCTTAATGTATTTTTCCACAGGTGTCACAGGGCGAATCCGCATGTGTTCTGGAAGCTCTATCTTGGGCTTTGCATCTTTTTTTTCATCTCCTATCAACTAAAACCAAAACATAATTAAAATTTGGACTCTATATATTTTGAAATTTACTGCTCTTTGTGTTATCCACACCATTTCCCTCGTTGCATCTGAACTTCCTGTTCTTTCCATCTCAAGCTCTTATTTCAGTGCTTTGGAAATTACTGGATTTTTTTTTGTTTCAGAAGGTGATGTAATTCTGAATTTCAGGTGGAAGGCTAAATATTGCTGCTACACCACGGGTCCAAAACCAGGTAGAAATACATCTTATATATGTATATATGTCTTATATGACTACAAAGCAAAGATTAATAGATGCTAAATACACCTATTCACCAATAGCAACTGTGCAAAGCTGGTACATGTCACAGACCACAGTCACCCAGGATGGATAATGAAACCATGAGGACCAGGTTTCAAAGGTGCTAATCTGGATGCCTACAGGGATTTTCTAAAACTCCTAGAACAGATTACTTCTACATTTATATTATAACCATGCAGGGGCTGCATCAATCCTGTCCTTTAGCAATGGAGTACTGTGATTCCAAATGGAACATTATGTGCTACTATATTCTAATAACATCACTGAGAAGAGACATCGCTCCAAATATTTTCGTTTGTTGTAAATTCCCCCACTGACAATTTAATTAGCTGGAACCTTTTCCCCTAGATTTTTAAACTACCATATGGATAGACAAAGGGGAAATATTTTCCTGTCAGTGTGCATCTAGTACTTGTTAACACTACTAGCAGTCATGTTTCTCAAGAGAAATATATCAGAATATGCACAGCATATAAATTACCACTTGCTGTTATTTTATTCAGAGGAAAACTGAGTATTTGAACCCAGTGCAGTTGTTACCTCGGATCCCAGCTTAGCAAAGCACACTCAGTACATTTCTAGTCTTCAGAGCTCTCCTAATTCTGTGTCCAGATAAATTTGTGTGCAGTTAGATTTCATGTGTTGCTTACATGCCATTCAATTTTACCTCCTCGAGAGGTGTTTTCAAGAACCCCCATTTGTCAGACCATCTTTTTGCAGCATCTCCTTCCTTTTCGACGCATTTTTTCCTGAAACCAACCAAGAAATATTAAAGATTACTTTGAAAGCTCTCATTAAAAACCAAAAACTCAATGCACAAAGCCAACTACTAATGGCACAAAGCACAGAGATTTAGCAGGAATCTTTAGATATTTACCTTGAAAATAACTTTTACCTTATTATCTTAACTTACAACACCAAGTTTATGTGCGAGTTACCATTGTCTGACTCAGAGGTAACAGGAAAACATTTTCCATAGGTTTGAAACAGCGCGTGTGAACACAGTGTGTGAGGAAGTGGAGGAGGCTGAAAAATAAACTGCAATGTTCTTTCATTTACTGTGGACTGATTCGACGCCCCACACGCGGCGGGGGCTGGAAGCTCTAAAAACCTCGATTTTTTTTTTACCAAGGCACGCTTGTGAAAGCGCGCACAGTCTTTAAACACACACGAAGCGAACTCATGAACAACCCCTTCAGCCCGCGCCTCAGCGGAGCCGCGGGGAGGGCAGGGCGGCGGCGGGAGGAGGAGATGGAGGGGAGCAGCGGCGGCTGCCAGGGGCGGGCTGGGGCCGTTACCAGTAGTTGTCCCGGGCTATGAAGTTGCAGGGCTCCGCCTGCCCCGGCTCCCGGTGCGCCATGGCCGCGGCGGGGCCCCGCTCGGGCCGCTCGGGGGCTGAGGGGCAGCGGCGGCGGGGGCGGCGCCCGTGTGGGCGGTCACAACATGGCGGGAGGGGCGGGCGCTGCCGGGGGCGGCCACAAAATGGCGGGGAGCGCGCGAGCGCTCCGTGAGGGGTGGAGTGGTTCTGGCGTCGCTCCTTTGTCCTCCGGCCGCTCCCCTGTGACACCACGGCCGTATCTCAGGGGAAAAAGTATCAGTTCCCCACGCCGTGTTTTGTTGAGGCACCTCAGGAAACCGCGGGAAGAGCGCTTGGTGTTTTCGGTAATTTATTTTTTTTTTTGTGCGTCGTTTTTTGGGAGGAGGCGTCTTTTTTTTGTGCGCTTTTTTTGATGCGTCTTTTTTTTTTCTCTCTTTTTTTTTTAACCGTTTGTAGGAAAACACGTTTGGGTTAAGATGGTGAAAAGCTGGTGCCTCGATTGAGGAACCAGCCGTGTGTCAAAGGAAGAAATGTCTGAGCTCTTAGTTTAAGGATTAGCCGGGCTCCCCTCAGCACAGAGCTGAACACTGAGCTGAGAGTCTCTTTTAAACCTGGACAAAGGGAGTTGTTCAACAGCCAAAACTTTTAAGTTTTTTAATCCTTTGAAGTGGACATGAGAAAAGTTGAAGGATAGTTTTTATTTTGTTAATCAGCTTGTCAACATGCCCAATGCTCAGAGCGTATGTGTTACAATGGATGTTCGTTCCTGCTCCCCAGTTTTTTATTCCTGGTTCCTCTTGAGACACACCAACACTATCTTTTGGTAATTGCAGTGGGACACAACATCAATCCTGTGACATACAGTGTCCTTCTGATCTCTTTTTCTGGTAAATGTTCTTTATGAGCTACATGCCTACAATAGAAGTTCTGGGAAAGTCCTCAACACACTTTATGGGTTCTGTGTGAGAATCCAAAAAATATTTACAGCTTGTAAAGGGTCCACTGTGCTCCAATACATTAATATTTTTGGCTCTCCATCAATTTTTTGGAAATTTTATTTTCTTGCTGTTCTTTATGAACAATTTCAGCAATGAGTGCAGCCAACTGGCTCTTTGCCCTTGTGGGTTTAAATAGTTCCCTGACCTCTTTCTTTCTGTCTGGAGATTGACTTGTGCAAACACACTGTAAATAGTTAATGGGGCTCTCTAACACCATGGGCAGTTATTATCCTTATTACAGGATAAATTCAGAAAGGTTTGGACTTAAGCTGAGTGGTTTATAGGCAGTGTGTTTGAATGCTTAATTACTAGCTCTTTTTTTCATAGAGCGAAGGCTCTAAAGGCCTTAAATACTTAAGTATGAGAAGACTATATACATTTATTAGTTATTACTCTATTTGAGTAAGAGGAGAATAAAAACTCCTTCAGTAGTCCTAAAATAGCAATTAATACTGCTCTTCTGGGTCTCTAAAATCATTAAAGTATCAACAAATGGAGCATTTCACTTACATGCCATTTCTTGATTCTCTAATTGATAATTAGACTAGCAATTAAATCATCTGAGTCTCGTATCACACCCATAAATGCTTACTCATTGTCCTACTTAATTAACTCCTGCTGCTTAGTCACATTTGTCTCAGGAGCCCTCTTATTGCACTGATGCTTTCTGTGAAAAAAAGTAATTTGTTAATGAAACAATCAAATTTGTAGCTTACTGTGTCAGGGCTTAAACTGCAGTAGCATTTATCAAGAGAGATGAAACTTCCTACACAAACATTGTGAAAATAGAATTTCAGAATGTTCAAGCTTTTCTCTTTTCTGTACTTAATTATTTCTCAGATGAGGGAATGTAGTAATTGAGTAGTTAGTTTTAGGTCTTAAGTTCTTATGAGCACAGGGCAATATTAGAATTGCACTTGCACTATGAGAAAAAAGTGAAATAGGATTTTAATGAGCTAATAACAATAGTGAATGACAGGAATACAGGTCCCTTGAGATTCCAAAATCATTTGCTGGAAGTCTGGATCTTGTAGCTACAAACAGCAGCGTTTGTCATCACCTGACAAATGTTGAAGAAGATACTCCATCACTTAATGTATCATGTTTAAATAGAATAAAGTCTCAATACTCGGTGCTTCAGATCGATGACCCCTTCCAACTCAGAGTATTCTGTGATTCATGAATCCTAGATCTTCTAAGATGGGTAAATTCTAATCTGGATGTTGCCATAAATGCTGAAATTCTAATGCTTCCTGTCCTCTTCCAGTTAGGAATTAGCCAATTATTCAGCTGCTCAGTAGTGCTGCTCTTCTTTCAGAACTTACAACTGTTCTTCCAGAATTTACAACCTGTCTATAACTTGAGAGCAGTGGCAAACAATGTGCATTAACCCAAATGCAATCTTTGTTTAGCTGTACAAATGCTTCCAGCAGCACAGAATGAGGCAGTACAGGAAGGTCCCGCTTTTCCCAAAGCTTCAGGATGTTGTGTTGACACAAATACAGGTGGTGCTGCTCTGTGAAATAGGTCAGGGGACCAAACTGACTTAAATAGACTGTGCAGAAAGAGAAAGTCAGCTCAGTGTTTTAATGTCTTTCACAGAACAGCTCCAGGAGCAGTTGTGCCTCTGCAATCAAGGCAGCAGACAGAACGGAGACAGGAAGAGGTGATGCCTGAGCTGAAGTGAACAACCAAGGGTAGGTGGATATCTTAAACCTCTCCTGCTGCAAAAGACTGTGATGCAATTGTGGTTTGTCAATGTTTGGAGTCTTCAAGATCTGAGTTAATTTTTGGTTTCTGGAAATCTCACATATCTGCCCTGATAGGAAAATGTTAAGGTTTTTTATATTGCTTGTTTATGGAGAAAAGTGTCCAGATGAGCACACAAGAGCCTTCTATGGGATACTCTGAAATTATTTGTAGGAAACAAACCTGTTGTCTTTTGAGTTCTTGGTAAATATTTGTGAAAGTTGTTTGTTTGTGATTATCTCCCACTCAATATGCTGATATTTACTTCTAGAGCAGCCTTAGCCAGGTAAGGACTGTCTCAGCTTTGGGTAGACCCAGGTGTGAAGCATCATGAAAGTGCTTGGGAGATTCTTCATCCAACTTTGTCCTCAGCCCGTGTTGTAACACTGTTACTTACCATGAATTGTAGGAACTGCCATTGGGAAATGGGACAGCAACAGTGCAAATGAGAAAGTGTGGCTGTTTTTCTCCTTAGTGATGTAAAAGCTTGCAGGTTGATAAGAATTTGTCACTAAGTGAAGCTTTGAATTGTGTGCTTGTTATCTGAACAGTTGTGAAACAAACTAGCGACTGTAAAGGTCTGGTAGAACAGAAACATGTTTTCTTATGGAGAGATGGGTGTTCTGGACAGTAATTCTTCATGGGAGCAGCTCTAGCACAGGGGGCTGAGCAGCTTCTCTTGTGCTGGTTCCTGCTGGGAGAGGTGTTTGAATGCTGGTTTCTATGTGGGAAGTTCAGGCAGGGCAGTGTCCCACGTGTGTGTGCCATGAATAGCACGTGCTCGTGATTTGGGGAATTATCCCAGAGCTGTGTCTCTAACAAGTGTGTGACCAGTAATTCCCAAACCTTCCTGCGGTGCTCCAGCTTTTGCTGGATGTCTGGCAGCTCTGCAGAGGCCACTGGCAGTGCTCTGACGAGGCTGTTGGCTGGGAAAGTAGAAAAAGTGCTCTGCACTGATGGGCGATAACAGCAGGGAGGGTGGAGGGATGTTCTTGTCCCTGAGGAAACCCGCAGAGCACCAGTCCCTGTTCCCTGTTGGTGTTCCTGAAGTCCTGCACTTCACACTCTGAGCACTGCCATCCTCACAGATTCTCCTTCAGCTGCACTGAGCTCGTGTCTTCCCCCCACGTCAGCAATGCCAGCACCTCTGAGAGTGAAGCTGTTTGCTGAGGGGTTTATATTTCCATTTGTGTATCTCTGCTTAGGCTCTTGCATTGAAAATGTTTACCAAAAATATTAATTAGTACTGGCAGTTCTATGCTTGCTGGTTCGTGGTTTGCAATATTGGGTGTGGAATCTAACAGAGGAGGTTGTGAGCATAACTTCAGTGTCTTTTACTTTTAAATAGTATTTCAGATGTAGGCAGCCTGAGACTGCCTTGTTATGGATACTGTGATTTAAGCAACAAAATTCCATTGACACTATAAGCTCAGGCTTCATTCAAAAAACCTGCTAAAGTCTATCACATCAAGAATTTGTTAATATGTTAATTGGAGTTCCTGAATTTCCATTTGTGGAAGGAACCCAATGGCTTGGTTAGAATCATATGTTGTGGCAAAATTTAGAACTGTCATCTTATTGTGGCTGTAATTATCCAGTGGCTTTTGAAACAGTGAGGGTATGTCTGTTTTCTCAACAGTAATGTGTTCCTTTTTTTCCTCCATAAAATGGCACTTGCAGCTACAGCTTTATGCACATTTCTCTGGACCTTGTTTGGGTTTGAGCTTTACACTAAACCTGATGGATACACTCACATTTCTATTGTAAACTGGTGGAATAACTATACATGCCCTCCAAACGAAATTATTTCTTCTACTGACATGGAGACCTTTGTCACCTTCAAACTGGAGCATGTGTTTGTATTAAAATCCTTTAGTAACTGGTGCTGTCTCTGAGCACAACTCCCCAGCCCTGGTTGCAGAGCTGGCAGAATTGCTGCCCTACTGCAGTTTCCAAGAATATGGCCCCACTTGTAGGCTGCTCAGGGTAAAAATATCTTGTAAATGCCAGTGTGCAACACTTAACAGAATTCTCCTGCTGCTCTGTGCTGAAGTACCTAGGCACAATATGAATTAAAGATGAAGGAAAAGGCCACAATTTTAAATTTTTGTTGCATTGTATACACTGAAATAAAACTCTTCATGGTCTTTGAAAGTATTTTTTGTTTCGATACAGTGCATGCTTCAAATCAGAAAGCGTCTCCTTTTTTCCTTTTGCCTGAAAGGCAGGGGGTCTAGGACATTTTAATAGCTTTCATATCCTACTCTGCAAATATATTATTGCAGCACAATAGTTTCTTTGCATGAGAATTGCTTAAATGATTCAAAAAGGATCGAA